TCAATTTCTACAAAAGCGCTTTTTGTAAATGATATTACAGATCATAACTTAGATGTGCTCTGTTTGACAGAAACCTGGCTAAAACCAGATGATTACATTATTTTAAATGAGTCTACCCCCAAGATTACTGTTATAAACATGAGCCGCGTCCAAAAGGCAAAGGAGGAAGTGTTGCTACAGATTACAGTAATATTTTCAGTATTTCTTAGAGTTCTGGTTTCAAGTATAATTGGTTTGAAGTAATGGTGATTCAAATAACATTACCCAGAGAAACAAGTGTTAATGATAAATCCCCTGTGACTTTTGTACTGGCTACTATATACAGGCCACCAGGGCCCCATACAGACTTTATTAGGGGGCATAACACACACAGTTTCACCCAATCTCACGTTAATCTTGAGTACCTATAGAGTAGTACTGCATCCTTCATATCTACAAAAAGTCTTTAGTTTTATCATATTTAAAAAAGAAAGATACAGCTTTACGATTCTCTCCGGAAAAAGTCGAGCTCCTGGAGGCGTGCCATGGGCGGAGCTAAAGAGTGACGAGCACTTGAGCGCCGAATGCCAACAAAACAGACATTTGATGCCGTTTCACTTACCGTCTGCAGGTCCAGATCATGACCGGGATCTTTTATAGCTGGAACCGCTCCATCTTTCAATATCAAACGATGAGCAAATCCAGCTTCGAACTGGGCCTTATTTATAAAACGTTCTTCAACAAACACACTTGTGAAACTCCGTTGCTGCCCCGGAAAAACAAACTGTATCTACTGTTTACATAATGCTGGGTTCTTTAGGAAGCTGAACAAAGTTATCTTTCCCTTACAACCAAAAACACACTTCTTTGGAGACATTCTTCCCGAGCAAGTCCCAGGCAGTGCTGCCGCCGGATGAAGCGCGTTGATGGGCGCGATCTCGCTCTCGCCGATGTGTGGAGAAATGCCCATATAAGGTGTTCCACCCTCGTCGACGTCATGAAGAGCCACGATTGAAAAAACTCTCCGAAACTTATACGAACCCGGAAGTACGATTTTTAGCACAGAAATACTCCGTCATACGTCCAAATTGTTTTTTGAATCTTTGTCCATGCTTCGCATGAGAATCCAACTCTTTAACAGTGAATAACTCTGAATGTATGAAACAGCATTGTCAGCATGTGAAACAGAAATTTCAAATAATTAAATGATCTCTAATACAACATGCTACATTTCTTAATTAGGGTAATGAAAAACATTTGACTTCTATTCAGCCAACAGCAAGAAGGCAGAGACTCGTAAAATGGGAGGAGAACCTGCACCAGCAGGTTGATGAAGAGGAGATGGCCACAATACCAATATTAAAATCCAATAGGGAAAAGAATGTTGCTTTTGTAGTTGTAGAACAAAGATGACCAAATAAATAGTGAATAATTTGTGTTTATTTAACAGCTGTGGTGGTGGTTTCGGCATATATCTTGTACTACTCTTCCATCTGGCATCCTTCCATTCCATACAGTAATCAATTTCATTTTCGGAAGGTGCGATGGTGAGAATGTGTGTGTAATCAATGCATCCAACCACACTGGAAATCCTAAAGGAAATTATAATTATTAGGTTACTTAGAGGTCGCAAAAAGATGTTATCAAGTGAACGTCATTTAAAAATGGTACTGCTCAAATAAATATGGCAAAATAAATAAATTAAATCAAATTAAATTAAATCCTCTTCTGATTTAAATGTAACTCCCCGCGAATTAATGCAGCCTCCTCATCTACAGGATCCCCCATAAAAATACATGCCATTTTTGTCACATTTAAAGTGTCTGCATGATGAAAATGAAAGTGGTCCGATGAGAAAAATAATCTTGTTTCCATTTTCACTAAGATTATTTTTCTTACCCCACTGGCAATAAATTTTACTTGTTTACCCCAGGAAACAAGACTAAATATCGTATATATTTTTTCTTATATAGACAATGCATCTTGATTTAAGAATTTTTAGATATTTGTACTTGAAATAAGGCGAAAATCTCAGCAATAAAAGCAATTTTTGCAGCGTGAATAATTGAACGAGGTATTTAAACATTGCTTACGCTTTAAAAATGGGGAGGAGGCCGAAAGTAGAGGTCTGACCGGGCCTGTTTTTTTAGTCCCGCTCCCGCCCGCAAGGTTCTATTCCGCAATATATTCTATATATAATTCTAATATATTATATAATATATAATAATATATAATCCCATTATATATTCACTCTGTTCATCCGCTGTCCACGTAGAATAATTTTCTTCCCGACCCGACCGTTGCCGCTAAATTTAGATCTCGTTTCCAGAATCTCACATTTAAAGGGGTCATATGATGTTGCTCAAAAAGAACATTATTTTGTGCATTTGGTGTAATGAAATGTTTATGCGGTTTAAGGTAAAAAAAAACACATTATTTTCCACATACTGTACATTATTGTTTCTCCTCTATGCCCCACCTTTCTGAAACGCATCGATTTTTACAAAGCTCATCGGTCTGAAAAGCAAGGTGTGATGTGAGTGGCCAGCTATCCAGTGCGTTATGACTGGCCGAATACCTCAAGCGTGTGACGGAAATGTTATGCCCCTTGCCATATTGTGATGATGTCCTGTCAGGCCAGAGCGACGATTCAAAAACATGAAAACCCATTATAAACGAGGCATTCGTTGCATTCAGTGGGGACATAATTATGGATTATAATGACTCGTACAGTCTTTTTACGCGTTGCATCACGCCGTGTAAACATAAAACCATGTCTGCATTTGTGATCGGAGAAATGACAAACAACAAGCCCTACTCTACACTGCCCAAAAAACTCGCTTTAAATATAAAAAACGTACTTACTTTCACAACGAAACACAGCATCACACACGGTGGCCTAGAGTGAGCAGAAGCCAGGGGCTAGCGTGAGGAACAGCCGGCGGGCTGAGTGAGCAGAGGCGGCGGGTTTGATAACGGCGCGGACAGCGGATTCGACGAAGGAGGCTTGCGGCAACCACATGTGACTACCCCGGGCTGGACTCAGTTTCATTCACGGTAAAAGCCGATCTGGCGATCCACAGCGCAAAGTTGCTGTATTTCCTCAGCAACCAACACGGATCAGCTCCAGGCATGACGAAGCAGATATCATCCTCTTTTGGAAGGCCAAACAAAGTAGTTTCACTTTCACAACGAAACAGCGCCTTCACGACATGGCGGCGGCAACAATACTACAGCGAGAATAAAAGTTACGCCTTCTTTCTTTGCGTGAACATTTGGGCGGCATTATGCAAATCTTCCCACATAGAGACATAGATGTGTGGGGGCGTGTTAGAACGAGCCATTTTAGGTAGGCGTGGCTGACTCTTAACTTTTATAAAGAATATCTCTTTGGATTTGAGACTTTAGTCTTTGCAACTTTACAGATCTTCTTTATGCACCAAGAGCTTGTAACACTCTAAAGAGAAAGGAAAATTGAAATCGCATCATATGACCCCTTTAATTTTCCACTACTGAAAGAAAGAGAGATAGGCTGACAAATAAAAGTGTAGTCTGCACAAAATTGTATGTTATTTTATTCGTCTTGTCAAGAGTCTTGAATTTATTGACTTTGATTTGAATTTATATGAATTATCTTAAGACACAAAATGAGTTTATTATTTTAAGCAACACAGTAGGGAAAAAAAAAAGTGTCAGAGAAAATAAAGTTGTACAAAAATTGTATTTCTTATTTTTATTCGTCTTGTCAGGATACAATTCGTTTAATATTGACAACACAATAGGGAAAAAGTGTCGCAGAGAGAAACAAAATGTAAGTTAGATAAATAGCCTATTAGCTATTTTTATTCGTCTTGTCAGGATACAATTCGTTTAATATTGACAACACAATAGGGAAAAAGTGTCGCAGAGAGAAACAAAATGTAAGTTAGATAAATAGCCTATTAGCTATTTTTATTCGTCTTGTCAGGATACAATTCGTTTAATATTGACAACACAATAGGGAAAAAGTGTCGCAGAGAGAAACAAAATGTAAGTTAGATAAATAGCCTATTAGCTATTTTTATTCGTCTTGTCAGGATACAATTCGTTTAATATTGACAACACAATAGGGAAAAAGTGTCGCAGAGAGAAACAAAATGTAAGTTAGATAAATAGCCTATTAGCTATTTTTATTCGTCTTGTCAAAATACTAAATTCGTTTGACATTTTTCTGTTAGCATAGAAAAATAAATAAATACGACATCTTTCATTTAAAATTATAGGCTAAGCAAAATATAAACAAAACAGAGTTGTACGTCCTTAAAAGGACAGCACATCCTTATTCTGCTCTGTCACTCATCGACAACCTGCCTGTTCTGTCTGAGGGCCGTATATTTACCACAGGTACAGCCTGCTCTGAGCATCGTTATGCACATGCTGCGCACAGACCACGCAAATAAAACGTGTGATGTTTAAAGCATACGTGCAGCACGTGCATAACAGTCCTGAGCGCAGATATGCTGTTCTAAATGGCCGTCGGGAATGGGATATTGTTAGACCGCCCTCTCCCGTTCAAATTACACCAGAGTTACTTTTCTGGGGTTAACAAACTCTGAGTTTCCAACAAAACCCACTTTCTGGAATACACCCCAGGACAGGGCACAGCACAACACGGCAAGGCAACAAGAACATCTAACATACACCACAGGACACGCTGACATAAACAACAAAACAGCACAGGGCTGCAGACAAAAGGAGAATAAATAGGGAGACAAATGAGGAGGGTAACAAGGGAGACACAGGTGAAGTAACTGAAACAATAATGAGATAACAAGAAGGGTGTGGTCAGACAATAGACACAGTGACCCTGGTGGCCATCTAAGGCACACCGGCCCGATAACCGTGACAAAATCTCCCTTTTCTGTCAAAAATACTAGAAAAGGCAGTATCCTCTCAGCTATGTTCCTTCTTGGAGAGATATGGTATCTCTGAGGATTTCCAGTCAGACTTTTTTGCCAGTGCAGTCCTCTACAGAAGATGTGTTTTTTTAAATGAAAGCGAGGTCCCAAGTGGGGGTAGTTGACAGCCAAGGAGGGTTCATCCGCCTTGCTTCCCATAGAAATCGAATCACATCATTTCTCCCCACTGACAACCTACCTGTCACGAATCCGGTCCATGAACTTCCTTCTGTTAGCCATCAGAGGTCACCCTTTCCAATTTCATTGACTCTCGCACTACACACTGTTGCACATCACCCCGGACTACATATCCCATCATTCATTACACATTGCACTCAGCACAGATTGCACACAGCTGTTAACACTGATTGCACCCAGCTGTTTCATATCACTCCCTCACTATTTAGCACTCACTCTGATCCCTTCCCTCTGCCGAGTATTGTTTAGCGCATATCTCCAGATAGCTACTCTACAGAGCCCTCATTCGTTTCCCTGCCTTAGCCTGTTTTCTCCGGTTTTTGATCTTCGCCTGGTTTCCTGGATTCCTCCTTTAGTCTTGCCCCTTTTTGATTCTGTCTGCCGATCGTCGACCTGCACTAGCCCTAGGATTATTCTTGTGTCTTGCCCGCCATATTCCTGGTTGCCACTGTTTGACCATGCCTGTCTTATGACCATGTCTCTGTCTTCTCCAAATAAAGCTTTGCATATGGATCCGCATGTCTCACGTCTCGTCAGCCCCGTTACACTACCAATGTCAGTATGAATGCTGATATCACAGCTACACACACTTGAGCATGGAGGGCGTACAGCTGTCATCTGAACACTCTTGTACAAAGACAAAACTACTGAAAACAGGCAGTTGACAGGGTCTTGGCCCTTCAAAGTGCAACAATCTTCAAAGGTTCCCCACCTATGACTGTAGAGATGTCTAGTAAACAGAGCGCTCATCTCTGAATATCTTTTGCACTTGCAGTGACACACTGACAGCGAGTTTAACGTTGGCAAACTCTGTCGAGTAGCCAGACAGATTCCATATAGGCTGGATACCAGACGGAGTTGGTCACTTGAGAGGGGATCTCTCATCAAGGAAATTAGCCATTCAGGTCCAGAGAACCAGGGCTGTGTGTGCCCTGTGCCTCGATGTACAGTGGGGCAAAAAAGTATTTAGTCAGCCACCAATTGTGCAAGTTCTCCCACTTAAAAAGATGAGAGAACTGCTCAACAGATAGGAGGTGCTGGTCTGCCCACGTCTAGAGGCTCATCGCGAGCGTGAGAGGAGGCTGAGAACAGGAACCACCTTGGCGATTATGAACGTCATGGCTGCCGTGTTGTCCATGAGAACGAGAACATGCTTGTGATGGACCTAAGAGTAGAAAATGCTGAATTGCTGAAACTCAAATAGAAAATTCCAGTTAATGCAGCGCTTAAGATAGAAGCGGTGACTCAGCACTCATAGCTATCAGAAGCTAGCCGTGCTAGACAACATAACAACTGCATCGACAAGCGACGAACTCGGTGCTATTTAAAACAGTACAGTGGGGTAATTGTAACAACCAACAGTAGTGATAGCCCATATTTAAATAGGGGAGACCACAGTTTTAAGCATAATGACTGTAACCTACAGGATAATAGCAGCAAGAAAAATCATACAGGGGCACTGCCACTGTAATCATTGCAAAGATTGGTACAGAAATAGGGGTGTGCCGATCCGATATTCAGTATTGGTTTTGCTCCGATTGCTCTTAACAGAAGCACTCAGCCGGTGCTTATCACAAAAAGCAACGCGCGACTTCAGCGCCATGGTTAGTGTAAGCAACACTAGCATGAAAGACAGTGGCACAGTTCGCGATCATCTGAGGTGTAAATGTATCAAGTAAGCTGTAAATAAGTGACCCATTGACAGACATTTACGCGTGTCCATTCTTATCAGTGATGCAACTTATCAGCTATGCATCTTTTGGTAATTGCTATATCAACGGTTTCAATTTTCGTTTAGGACTGTGGCTGCATTGCTGGCATCTTGCACAAGAAAGGCACGCACGTGTCGTTCAGCTTTAAGTTCGCTGGAAAATCATACTGAGTAAGTGCACAGTATATTGTATAGTAAATGTCCTTTTATTACGCCTATATGGTAATATTAATTTGTGGTTGATAGTGTTAAAATATAGTTTCCTTGTTATTGGCATTCTGTTTTCTCATCAAGTAGGCCTATGCATATAGTACTGTGAAAAATAAATGCTAACAATTGTTTATAACATTCTTTTAGGACTGTGAATACACCACTCTTGCCTTCACCTGCATCTCACACAGGAAGGGGACGCAGGTCTCATTCAGTTTTCATCTCCATTCAGAATCTTATAGAGTAAATGTGCATTCACTATTTTACAGATGTTACTTTAATTTGATGTATTTACTGTATGGTAAAATATGTGTGCTATGTGGTAATTGTGTTCTTTATTTCTATAAATTAGTACTAGTGTCAGTGACCATTACAATAATGTTAATAATGTAGGTTATCATGGAAAACAGAGACTGATGTCGACATGGAAATGCCAGGTATGTGATGTTCATTTATATATTTCAACATGACACAGACTACCAGTCAAAAGCTTTTGAACAGTAAGATTTTTAATGTTTTTGTAAAGAATTCTCTTCTGCTCACCAAGCCTGTATTTATTTGATCCAAAATACAGCAAAAGCAGTAATATTGTGAAATATTTTTACTATTTAAAAGAACTGCTTTCTATTTGAATATATTTTAAAATGTAATTTATTCCTGTGATCAAAGCTAAATTTTCAGCACCATTACTCCAGTCTTACTCCAAGTGTAACAATATACACTACCATTCTAAAGCTTGGAGTTAGTATATACATATATACAAATGAAATAAAAGTTAATATATATATATATATATATATATATATATTCAATCATTTATTTAGCACAAAAGTGATGACATTTATAATGTTACAAAAGATGCTGTTCTTCTGAACTTTCTATTCATCAAAGAAACCTGAAAACATTCTACTCAGCTGTTTTCAGCATAATAATAATAATAATAATACATGTTTTGAGCAGCAAATCAGAATATTAGAATGATTTCTGAAGGATCATGTGACTGGAGCAATGCAAAAAAAATTCAAAACAAATTCAGCTTTGATTGTTCCTAATAAACTGTTTAACTGCACTCGCAAGTGAATCTCAAGTTATTTTGTGTGATAGTTAAATATATTCTAAATAAACTACTAACAAAAAATATATAAATTTATTTTGTCCTCAGATTCTTTCTTGTAACTTTTCCCTTTCAGTCACATACCTGACTGAAAGGCTCATTATGTGGGCCGTTGTCTTCTCAGGTGTGATTCACACTAATATTCATGATCATTCACGCCTCCTCGCATATGCCCTTTCGAAACAAAAAAAAATGTCTTAGAACATTTAAATCAATCTATTGTTTTCTGTGAGCAAGTAAACGAGCTGATTTTCACATCAGTTTGAAGCAAAAACTCTAGGCTACAAGATCCAGTTATCAAAAGTCTTGTGAACAAATGTTCTGTATTGTGTTTTATGGCCTTATTTCAGTGACTTCAAAATTTTAGTTTTTCACTATCCATGCATAAACGTTGATTTCTCAAAAACACAATCATGTACATACATGCTGCTCACATATTATTGTAGCCCAGTTTGTGCCGAATACAGTGTTTTCAGACTTTAGCCATCTATATGTTTATAAGCAACTGAAAAAAAATTACAGCATGTCAAAACTTCTCCAGGGCCCCAAAACACCCTTAGATCCCAGAGGGTTAAAGTTTGCCAATGGACATCTAAATGATTCAGAGAAGGCTTGGGAGAAAGTGCTGTGGTCAGATGAGACCAAAATTGAGCTCTTTGGCATTAACTCTTTGTGTAGCACAAATAAATAAATAGAACAAACATACAAATGAAACAATTTCAAACAGGGCCCACTGGTACAACCTGCACTGGGGCCCCGCAAACCCCAGCTATGGCCCTGTGAGTTGGCATCGTGTGAAGGACTGAACAAAACCTTGTTGGAGCGGTAAGGGGTAATAACATAATACCAGTGTTTCCCCTAGGGTTACGGCTTTGGGGGGGGGGACTCCTTTTTAATGGTTAAATTACATTTTATTAATCAAAAAGCATGTCTAATTAATTAAAATCATGAAACTTAAACAATTTAACATCAAATTATTAAAAGTTTAACAAATATTACGTTTAGGGCCCTATGAAATATTTTATTTGCCAACCTTATGTTTTATTGTAACCAAATTCTGTTTTAGCATGTCTAATTTGAAAGCATAAAACAAGTTTCATTTATTCTTACAATAGCCTTATGATTTTTTTGCTCAGACATTCTGTGTTGTGTATTTACATTTTGTTTTAAGGCATAAAACATTCATTTAATCTATCTTTTAAGTAATGAAAATTAAACAAATTTAATTTTTTGGGAAAATAAAGGTCATTTAATATTACAATTAAAACATTGAAGAAATACTGAATGCTTATTCCTTAAAAATAAGGTTTTAATACTTTTAGTAGTAGTAGTAGCAGTCTGTTACGTACATTCTACTGAACAATAGTAATATGCGAGTAACAGCCAATGCCCTCAAGTTAAACCGAACGTTTATTTTGACGGGTTGCCGTGAATACCATTACATTTCTGTGTGTGTATGACATGATGATAGTTTTACTGAAATGAAACGGTCAAATGCTCATGAAGTGACTCTCAGAGCAGTTCTGGAGATGTTGTTCATGTATTTATGTCCTCATTAGTGAGACGGCAGAGGTTAATATATCACCAGAAGCGTCACGAGCATTTCAGTACGAGTACTACACAAAACCACGCGTCTGCGCCATTCATTAACACAGAGACATGCAGAATTCATATTTAAATATGAATAATTTTGCGGCTTAATATTTACAAATACTAGTGGGAGTGGGCTTACTTGTGTGTGTGTGTGTGCGTGTGAGCGCGCGCATCGGGCGGAACTCCGCTGTGCGTGATGCAGAGAGCGCGACCATAACGTAGACTGAAATGACATGCCGTCGTGTAAATAAGATAAATAACATAAGGCTATTAAGTTTGCTTAATGAAAGAACAAGGTATAGACATGTTCTATAGGAAAGGTAACTTTAAATGACTTCTGTTGTGATCTGGCGCTATAGAGAAAATATAATAAAATAAAATTAACTTGACCTTCAAGGGGGGCGGGCCGCCCCCCTAAAAGAATGGCAGGGGAAACACTGAATACGCTGATCATAGGCTTTTTAAATGAACATTTATTTATAAAACAAAAGTTCTTCTTTGTTCAGATTAAACTTTCTTAATTGCATAAACACATGCTTTACTCCCTTCAAACTTCAACTGGAATGTCACTGTTTCTGTCACTGCAACTTCCCATACAAGCTAACACACACACAAATGAAATTTGGGTCTACCTGATGAACAAATTAATTTAAAACATGTTCATATTTTAGAGAATGTAGTTAATATTTGCATCATTAACAATTTATCTCAACCACCCGCGACCCACCCGCAATTAATAAGAATGTATTTTTTATTACCTGACCCGTGGATTATCCGCATCACTACTGGTGACGGTGTTAAAAAAAAACGTTTGAGATGATTTGAGCTTTGTAACAATGGTGCAATATTCTGCAGGATATTGTATCAGTTCAGTCGTAGTACAAGCAGGGTGTGAGTGACGGTTGGTCGGTATTAGTTCTGCCCCTCCTCCACTGTGATTGGTTACCTGACTAAAAAGTGACAGTGATGAGCGCTGTGTTTTACCAAAGGCTATAGAATACGGCAGCGTGTCCACCAAAGCATTTTTTCCTGAGGCAGGCGTATTTTTTCAATTGTTTTCAATGGGAGCGCC